TATATGCATATATATTTGTATAAATGCATGTATATATGTGTATATTTTTATTTGATATATATAGAAATATATATACATAGAAGTATTTATGTTTATATTTGTATTTGTATGTGGATATGAATATGTATATATATATGTGTGATTTTTTTTATTTTGTATGTATGTATGTATATGCATATATATATATACATATATATGTGTTTATATATGTATATGTATATATAAATATATTTGTTTGTATGTATATGTATATATATATTTGTATAGATGTTTGTATATATATGTGTATGTTTTATATAGGAGTATATATATTTATATTTTTATTTGTATATAGATATGAATATATATGAATATATATATATATATTACTATTTATTTATTTTATTTTAAATTTAAAAAAATCGATTTTTTTCATATTTTTTTGAATTTTTTAAAAAATATGATGTGGCATGCTGATGTGGCAAAAAAATCTATGCGGCTGACGTGGCGTGCCACGTCAGCGGTTAACGGACACTTAACACCGTTTTCGGATTGTGTAGGAAATTGCAGTTAAATTGGGTAGTTCGTGTATCAATTTGGCACATTTGATAATTTGGTGTAGTTTTTTGTCAAATTAAAAATTCGTGTAGGAAAAGGTCACATTTTGCAAAGTTGGTGTAGGAAAATGTCATTTTCCCTTTTTTATATAATAGAATCTTCTCTTCTTTTTTTAATTAATATTAGTAAATCAATTGATCGAATATGATATCTATAAGAATAATCGATTATATTTAATAATTCATACCTAATCTTTTAAGTTTTTTAAAAAAATATACCGGAGAGAATAGTGTATTATATAAATCTCTTTATTTAGATATAATATGGAGAATAACATAAGCTTATCAAATTATTTTAAACCTCTTTATTTATATATTACACAATATTACTATATATACATTCTCGTCAATAAGTGAAAAATCAATATTCATGAACTCATAATTTTTCTTCATATATCGAACTTTTTAAAGATATATTAACCAGCTGATTATTTGTTGCAATTTTTGACATTGTTTTCTTTGATATATCAGAATTATTTTTTTGTTTCTAAATATGTACTATGTCATAAATTTAGCACGTCATTTAGTTTTTGATTTCAAATCTTTAATATAATTCTTATTTAAAAAATTGAATATGAAAATTTTTTGGCATGGAAAGTCATGTTACGATTGTTTTGAACTCATGTTTTTAGTCTCTTGAAAATTTTCTTATTTACCATATATTTTTATATATTGTTTATATTTTTATTCACAATTTTACTTTAAATGTTAACCACAATATCGTTCTCTAACGCAACCTACACCACCATGTCTTGCTCCTTTGGCTAAGGACCTCTTTCTCACCTTTGTCTCTGCTGTTCTCTCTTTCTTATCCAAAAATGATAAAAAATGATCAAGAATTTTTTTATAAAATAACAAAATTTGATCAAAACCCAAGATATGGATAACTGTAGCCAAACTGTGGAGTATTCATTTATTCTATGTAGATTTAGTATTAATATGGATTATTTTTTTATCTAGAAAAAATATAAATTATTATAAAATCATATATTTACGGAGAAGAGTAAATATTAGTATATTTACATAGATACAATATAGAATCGATATATAATGATTTTTTAGTGTTCTTATTGTTATACATGTATATACATATATACGATATATATTACATACATGAAATATATATAGTATATATCTATATAGATAATACACACATATATAAAGGAAATTTCTTAATTAACACTATGTTCTCCTTCCCTCTCTTGGTTGTGCGGCTGTGCCCGACGAATTTTCCAGCTGGATGTGATCCTTTTTTCATGGCGGTCCAATTCTGTCGCTGTCTAACCGATACTATCTCTCTCGCCGCACTTGTATGGCTCTCTGGATTTCAGTTTTCATTGTGGCTTCGTTCGATTCTCTCTTGAAATCTCGTTTGATCTTCTCCTCCACACTTTTGTGTTGTAATTATAGAAATTATAGAAATCATCTCTCCTCCTCTTGAAAAATCTTGAAACCCAGATACTCGGGTGGCTAGGGTCCTCATATGGAGATGCAAATTTTTTATTGTTGTTAACTGGCCAGTGATCTTTTCTTGCTCGCGATTTTATATATATATTATTGATCTCGGGTTCATAGTGGCGTAATGAATACCACGCACATAAATCTTCCGTTTCATATTGTAATTTTTAAATGCTACAATACGTTACCTTTAAAAAATTCATTATATTTACCTCCACTATTTTTATTATTTATTTTTTGTAACGTAATCTTAACATATTTTATTAAATTTAACCCACTCTATAATACGTTACATTTAAATTATAAATGTATATTTACATCCACTACTTTTATTATTTATTTCATATTTTTTTAAAACTGTTAATTAATTATTTATATACATTTACTCATTAGTTTAATGAATTTTTAAATGACATAGGAAAATTAAAAATAAAATGCCACATAGATAATGAGGTGGATGCTGATGTGGCTTCACCACAATCCTTTAAACTCCTTTATTAATATATATAGATTTCGTTTAATTCATCGAGATCATATGAATCAAATATAGACATGAGAACGAGAACGGAAAAAATTCTTAACACTCAAAATAAATAACAGATTTTAAAAATAAAACTTTCCTATTAACCAAATCTTTTAATTCTTGAGAAATTTTGTTTGTTTTTCGCATCAAATTAGCTAAAAATTATGGCATACAGGAAAAAAACCTCGGAGAAAGATACAACGTGCGTGAGACGAGAAAGAAGGTATTAATAAAAACTAAAAGGTACTATAAAGATATATTTATAAAGGTACGGAGTAGGCATGTCAAATTGAGCCGAGCTCGCGAGCCGATTCGAAGTTGGCTCCTTTTTTACCGAGCCGAACAAAGAATATCTGAATCCAAATAAAAATAGGCTGAGTGAGCCAGCTTACCACGAGTCGAGCCCAAACGAGCTAGCTCGCGAGCTGGAGTAAAAAAAATCTTACGTTGAAACTTGAAAGTGTTGATATTGTTGGTATGATATTTTGATTTAGATATAATTTTTTATATATGGATTTTGGATCTTAAGATGGTTTTTTGTATATGGATTAAGATTTAATTATACATGGATGGATTAGGATCTGAAAATGATTTTTTGTACATGGATGGATTATGATTTTATCTATTTGAAGATGATTTTTTTGTATATGAATTGTAATTATGAATATAAGTATGATTTGGATGTATTGGTATATTCTTTTTATGTTAATGTATCATTTGGATATGATTTTATATAATTTGATATGAATTTTTTTAGGTATTTAGAAAAATATGAGTCGGCTCGCGAGTTAAGCGATTTGAGATGAATCGGAATTTTCTGACCCAAATAAAAATGGGCTTAACGAGTTGGGGTGAAAATGAGTTGGTTCGAACTATTGTATAGTAATATTTTTTTTTTCGTGAACGAAGGTATGGTTTGAGGTTACATGCTATTTTTTGTTAATGTCCCACTCCGCTCTCAATACACTGCCGTTTTAAAGCTTGACCCGCAAATTCATGGGTCGGACTATTTTGACTCGACCCGACCCGGAAACACGAACACGTCTATATAATCCATTATAGACGAGAATACCCTCGGCACGTCTTATTTTTACCTAATCGGCTCTCGCGAGCGTAGGATCTCAGCGGACTCTGCCTCCAAACGCGTCTTTGTACGGAGCATCGATTCCATGGCGAGCAACGGCGATAAGGTCACCGTCACAGCGGAGAATGGCGGGGAATTCTCCTCCGTTGAAAACCCTAAGAAGATTGTGGACCTTAACTCGGCGGGATCAGATCGTGCCGAGGACCCTCCCGGCACCGAGACCGTAGCACTGCCGGAATCGGGAGGTACTTTGGCTACGGAGGGAGGTAAGAAGAATGACGGTCATAGCTCGAAGGTTACCGGAGCCGCGAGCGACGCAAGTTCTGGGAATAAATCACCTGTTAATGATATCCAGAAGAAGATCCAACGTGCTGAGAGGTTTGGTTTGCGTATACAGCTTACGGAGGAGGAGAAACGGAATTCTCGTGCTGAGAGGTAAGAGGAATAGTTTCGAACACTTAATCTTCTCGAATTTTTCGGATTTGTGTTTTAGGGTTGTAATTTGAGGTCGGTGGAGAGCTAGGGTTTTCTGTCGTTTTATTGCACTGACTGGCTTTTCTCTGTTTTAGCATTTGTTATTGCGAGAGAAACACGAGGATTGTATCAGAAAATTGAGAATTGCTGTTTTCTCCTGTTTGTCAAGTTTATGGTGGCGATATTGGAGTTTATTCTGATCCCTGATGCAGGTTTGGAACCGCAACTTTTGTGAATGACTCAGAGAGTACAAAGAAAGCAGAGGAGCTGAAGCGAAAGTCTAGGGCTGAGAGGTTTGCTACCGAGCTGCTGCTTGTGTTGATTATATTCCTCGTTATGATTGCATAGCGTTCAAGTGGAACATGGAAATGGTGTTGCTTTGTGCATTTTCGGTTGTAAAGGAAACATTTTTGTCATTGCTTAATGTTTCTCTCAGATTTGGGCTTCCCATATCGTCTGCACCCGCTGCTGAAGAGGCAAAGAAGAAAGCTAGGCTGGCCCGATTTGGGGCAGACACCAAAACTGATTCTGCTGAGGAGGAGAAACGTAAAGCTAGGACATTGAGGTACTTTTCCATGTAACCAAAAAACTGGTTTCCCGTATTCTTCTAATGTTTAGCTCATCCGAACAACGAGTCAGAGCTTTACTTTTCTGTAGCTTATCATTCAATTGGTGACTTCATATCATCAGGTTTTCAAAACCTTTATCAAACTCATCTTCAGATGCATCTGGGAAGCAAAGCGTCAGCAATGTAAGCATTTTTTACATGTCTTACTTTTCTCATTTGTTAGAATAGCAAATCACACAGAAGAAATAAGCTCTTAAGTTCTTTGATTCATTTTTCTCTCATGCATCAGGAGGCAGCTGTATCAGGAAATGTTGCTTGAGGTGCCAGAATAAAGCTCTTTCTTTTTGGTAGTTTAGGTAGGCTATATAAGGTGGGTTTTGGCCGAATATTAAAATTCTGAATTGCATGCTGTTTTTCATTCTGATTCCATGATCTTTCATTTTGACAGGTAGCGCGCTAACATTTTGTGGTTGTTCCCTCTCTGGCTGCTTCACCCTCATCTCAATTTCTGACTTAAAAGTTACTGCAAGTAGTCGGGTGGATATCAAATGGACCAGGGTTCAGTTATCACCACCAGATGAGATCTTGAGAAATCAACGAGTACCTTTTAGTGCTAATAGTCTAAAAAAGCAATATTAATGGGCTAGGATCTAGGAATTCTGAAGCAGCAGTGCCAATCACGTACTGGACTTTTTCTATGTTGCAGGTGCTTGAAGCGGTAAGTTTGAGTCGGTAACTACTTTCATCTCATTTATATGTCATCCAAAAATGTCCTTGCATATTTGTGCAAGCACAGATAGCAGTAATACGTAGTTACTGTGTGCAATGAGTATTTTCAAAGTTGCAAGAACAAATCAACCAAAGCATTGATTATGATAGAAAAGAAATGGGAAGATAAAAGGTTGGAGCTAAAGCCTACTTGGAGCGTGATCTGATTAGTATAGTTCACCTGAACCTTTTAAAACCGTAGTTTGTTGCTCTATTTACTGTAGAAGTGGATTTCGTTAGAAGTACTTTTCCTTTTTTTTAGTTGTGTTCCATTTTTCTTAACATTCCATGCTGGTGTGTTCTTGTGTGTTTTTCTTAAACCGTGCTATTCGGCTATCGTAGCTATCAAAATTGGCATGTGTTTTTTTTCTTTTTCGCGCCTTTTATATCATGCTTATCCATATGATTTCACAAGCTGCTGCTTCAGAATTCCAATGTTATTATAGACCTCATTAGCATTACAGAGGTACTCGTTGATTTCCTTCTCTCTGGGTGCCATCGTCTGTTGGCAGAGACAGCTTCAGACTGCAGCTGAAGCTCCATGGTGGGACTTTTATGACTGTAACCATTGAGATTCTCTGTTTGTAATAGAATTTAGACACCCGCTTTTGCAAAGACTTTGTGTCAAACAATTTCAAACACAATGCCAGATGACTTGTTCGAGGGAATGTAATATTTAGTGTTTCTTTTTATGTTATAATTGTTATGACCATTTCATCTCCATTCTAAGCATGCCTGTTCAGTCATCTTGTGCGTGCGTTGATTGTACTTGCATCTTGTGCAAGGACCAAGGATTATGAATCCAATTTTTTCAGGTTCTCTGCTATATTGTACCACCAGTATTAACATTGATGGTTTTTAAGTACCCTCATGTATCATATGTGCATACAGGGGCACCTGAGAACTCTACATTGTTTTCCTCTTGTATCGAGGAGAATTCATGTTTTCTTTAAGATGATGGATTCTCACAATTTCATGTTTTTATATCTATTGCTGCTAGATCTTCAGGATATTGCCCTGTGCTCCAGCTCCTTGTCTAACGCATTAAGGAAAATAGTTGTAGCGGGTATGATTCTTTCATGAGGTTGAATGCACGTGGAGACCTCCTCTGATAGACAGGTGAGAAGCACAAGGACCTGTTCTGGTGAACCCGGGCTCGAGATAAACCACAACAACAGTTATATCGTCGTGGAAATGTCTTCTCACTCCAGGATCGATCTGCTTCAGGTCAGAGTATCTCATCTCTCTTTTCTTAGCCGCTTCCTTCAGTGCAGCTTTGATCAGTCTCCTTGCTATTCCCTGTGTCAGTTGAAATATCAATAAGGAGATCTTATGGGCTAACCGTGTAAGATGTTGATATTCCACTGGAGATGGGTAGGACATCGAACTTACTTTTCGTGGGGAGCTATGTACAATATCCACAGCTTCTTGGTTGCTAAGATGCTCCCACAGCCCATCCGAACCAAAAATCAGGAATTCGTCTTCAGGGTTAAGCTGGTGAACCGTGACAGATGGATCAGACCTAAGGATCGGCTTGGTGAAAGGCTCAGGTAGTCTGAACTTTGACATCAAAGGTTCTCTGTTGAACTCTACTCTTTTGAGATATGCATCACCTATGGATCTTGTAACCTGGAAAGAGACATAATGCTATTCTTCTTCAGTTTCTTACACTATGAGCAAGAAATGGCTCAAACATATGCATGATTCTAACGAGATCTTATTGTTGTCTTTGTGTCTGAATGGTTGTTACCTGTATTAAACCTTTGACACGCCATGTCCAGTGCTTCATCACTAGAATGTTGGGGTCATCGGGGTGGATGGACCAGAGTTCTTGCCTTGCGGACTCTAGGTTGGCGTTGTGCTCAACAGATAGCTGAACAGCTCTCACTCCTCTTCTTCCTTTCTCGGCTCTGCCCAACACAGCCCGTGAATCTCCCACATTGGCAACATACACCAATCCATTGCATATCACTCCCGTCAGACAACATGACCCTACAGACGCCATCTGCGGATTCCTGAGCCACTGTTTCTTCACCATGGTGAGAAAGTCTTCCTCTGTCTCTGCAAATGCTTTTCTTATCACCTGCTCTGAGATCTCCCAATTCTCTGATGCAAATTCTGTTAAAGGAAACTTTTATTAGTGCCTTCCAGATTCAAAAGGAGGGAAAAAGAGAGAATGGTAATGGGTGCATTACTCTTTAACTTGGGGAAGATCTTGTTGCAGATGAATCGGGAAGCTTCCGGACCTCCATGGCCATCATAAACCCCGACGAACGTGCCCTGAAACGTCGGATCAGTAAAGCTCAATGGCCCTGATTCGAATTGGCATTGATCCTCCATCACACCGTTGGCTTGGATCGTAGCCATGGAAAATTCACCAAAGGCATGAAGGCCAAGATCCTTAAACCATGTCGGGCCATCAACCTGCCCGGTATTGCTCTTACCTCCCTCACTTCCAACACCTATTTTCCAACACGGTTTAACCATTTTTTATATATTTACTCTGCACAAATTATGGATATCTGTAAAACTCTATACAGATGAAATATATGTTTTATACTAATAGTGGGCTATGCTTTTGGGGATTTTGATGTGAGAACTTGGACTCTGAAGATGAATGAGACGAGGCTTATATAAGGGAGTAGAAACCCTAATAAGTAAGAACGAATACAAGATTAGGAGGAAGAGGCCAAAAGGGTATGGGTCAAATTACTGGAAAAAGTAATAGTGGAGTGAGACAACAAAGACAGTAAGTTTGAATTAGGTTCTCAGAGACCTCTCTCTCTGAATACTTGCAGATTTAAGTATTTGCTCTGGCTTCTTCTTCTTCTTGACTGTTCCCTTGTCTGTCTTTTATTATTATTATTATTAGTTACTATTATACTCAAAATATCATGGATTTTTTCATCTTAACAGCGTTTTCCAGTGCAAATCTGACAGAATAATCATTGAATATTTGTTGTTTGAACTCCGCTTCGTGGGATCTAACCCTAGATTCAATGTTTCTGTCCTAATGTTTTTGCCATTGAACGAAGGTTTCGGTTGGCTCTTTTTTCTTTTTGTACAAATATGGGTGGGAGTCAATACTACTACTGACTTGCTTGCATCCTACTATGTGTTGCAGACAGGCTTCCAACTCTTAAACCAGTTCATCATCAAGCCGAATGTTTTGCTTCACTCTAGAGCCTTGGTAAATGTACCAAAGTATTCGGCTTGAAATTCTGATTCAATCCAGGACTATACATACACACTTATATATACGTATATATAATGGTTGGATATTTGCCTGTCATATGATGGTAAGAACTCTGATCCTTCTTTTTACTGAATTTGTTATTGTTTGTTTTTTTTTTGTTTTTGGTGCAAATAAGAGAGGAGGGAGGATGATGATGTACCTTGAATGTAGGCAAAAGGAGAGAAGAGGCCATAAAATGTATGTGCGTGTGCGAGTCCCCTACAACATTAGCTGTCCCAACCAAACAGGTTTGGGTTTTTTTTTTTGGTCAGTCTCTGTCCTTTCTTGGATCTTACTGTGAGATAAAGAGGATGTTTTCTTCATCCTCCGTTCTATTTATTCATTTATTTACTAGAAATGATTATCATAATGGTGGGTGAGATTCAGATTGAAATATGGATGGGTTGAAATATGAAAAGCCAAAGGAGGAGATTTTGGTGTTTTGCCCCTCCAGCTTGCATCCGTGGCCCTCTTCCTATTCCACGTTGAAGTATCAGAACCAAAGTATTGTCGTGTTCCATTCTAATTGATGATTATCCACTAATGGCAATCGAATCATTGATTAAGCAAGCTGCTTAATCTTATCTTTACAGCCCAATTAATGGTTGAGGCCCCCATTGCTCTTTTTCCTTCAAATGTCCCATCTGTCTTCTACACTTCCTGCACTGCATAATCAAAAACCACAATTTTTTTTAACTACGGGAATCCCTATGACTATCTACCCTTACAAACGGAGACGAATTGACTACCACCCACGCCTAACAGTCCCCATGGACCTCAGTCCGTCAAACCTGGCCACCAGGCGCGCCTAACGCTCGGGCCGTAGTTGGGCTTAGGCGCCTGCAGGTCAAACCCCACGCCCACGCGCACGAGTCTACAACACACGCGGAGAAAGTAAATCAGTCCATTATAATGGGGTGACAGGCGAGCAGGTCAAGGGGAAGGGAGAGCGACGAAAGGATTCGAACCCTCCACCTCAGAGTGCTGCTCCCATGCTCCCTTACCACCTGACCTGGCCCAAAAACCACAATTTCTTTCTTTCTTTACCCTTTTTTGCATTTGAAATCAAAACTATTTTAAATCTTTCTTCGGTTTCATATACCAATCTCAAGGAATGATTCGTAGATTTCACCTTTTTTCGTTCTCTATAAGATTATATGGTCTTCGGGCTTTGAACCTTGTGTAACCTTATCCATTATGTAAGAAACCCGTAATGCCAAAACTTCCAATGCAAGTAGTAAATAGTTTTATCTTTTTAAACGCTTTTATACACTAGAAAAAAGATGGATATGATGATGTACGGTACGGCAATTCCAATTCATGGCAGTTCAAGTAAATGCGATCAGACTCCAAAAAAATAATAATAAAAGATTTAATAAATCCATGATTTGGATCATATGATATTCCATTGAAATTAAAAAATATAACGAGAGGATCGGAGTCCTTGGATCAAGGAGAGTGCCCCCATGTCCCAAGCAACAACACAGTGTATAATTATCATCATGTGCATGGCACATTTTTTTATTTTATGATTACTTAAATTCCATACGGGATTATAAAAATTGAACCCCATAAAAACATAATATTTATATTATTTCAAAGAAATGACAAGAGATAGAATTTAAAAAAAAAAAAAAGAGGGAATGGTGACAGCTGGGCCATGATGTTGGTGTTTTGTCTTTTGGTAGAGGGAGCATGAATGTCAGTCAGTCTATCTCCTTCTTGGCTTCGAGCTTTGGTTATCCTTCCTTCTTTAGGGCTCACCCACGTAACCCTAGATACATACCACAAATCTTATTTATTTATATATTAAAAAATAGTTTCAAATGATAATTGTTTTATCGTATAATAGATTCATTTCTTGTGATGAACAGTCTCTTAATTTACAAAATTTAAGATTTTTATTTTTGGTGTTTTTTGTTTGATGAAATAAAATTTAGGTATAATAACGAGGATCATATTCAACAACGAAAAATTTAATCGTATCGAATCAACTGAGTTTAAATGTTGTGTTGAGTTTGAACTTTTGTATCGTTTTTTTAGATAATCGATTAGGTCCAAAACTAATTCTGTAGCCGGAAACAAGGTGGGTGATTGGAATTACACTCTACTCTTCAATTTGATTCTCGAATTCGGAGCGGAATAGACGTTTTGCGTCTCCATTTCACCGGTTGAACTATTCAAGTTAGGTTATTTTTGTATTATATTCGATCTAATAACTTAATTAAAATATCTGGACTATATCCCAACGCAGATCAAGTAACGGAAAGAGGGCAAAGTTAAATGAATTCACTCTAAGAAAGGACGTTCATCACATGGACCGACTTGATTATATATGAAACGAAATGACCACGACAATCTCCATCCATAGATAACGATATTGATTAAGAATGGCCAACCACCATTAAATTAATACAACGGGAAATTGAAAAAAGATTTGGCATATTTATCACCCTCAAATTATTAGACATATTTATTGCATTGTTATTGACTATCTAACGAATTTAAATATATAATGTGATTTTCTATTTGTAGAAATTAGGGGTGGGCACTTCGGTTCGAGAATTTAGTACCAACCCGATCCGTCCCGAAACCGAACCATACCGAACCGAACCGAATAACGTTTGGTTCTAATTTGGTACACTTTTTATGGAACCGAATGAACCGTTCCCGAACCGAGCCGTATGAATACCGAACCGAACCGTATGAATACCGAACCAAAATTCGAATATTCCACTAATATATGTGTAAATATTATAGTTCGGTACTTATTTGGTATTCATATAATGGTACCGTTCCGAACCGAATCGAACCGAACCATTTAACATTCGGTTCTAGTTTGGTACACTTTTTATAAAACCGAAAATACCGTTCCCGAACCGAACCGCTTGAATACCGAATCGAAACCCGGAACGCTCACCCCTAGTAGAAATTACAATACAATAAAAAAATTCAAAATCAAATAGAAAACAAGTTAATCTATCAACCCTAAACAAATATAAATTCTAAATTCTCTTTTATTCTGAATGCAAACACGTTTTCATGACCATGTATACACATTTTGATATATATATATATATATATATTATTTACACAGTTTAGTACAACAAGCATCCTATTCATATATAGGATTAGAAAGAATGTACTGAAAATCCAAACTAATTAATTTGGAACAAAATAATATGATTTTTAACACAAGCATTCTAAAGTGCAAGAAAGATTATGTTTTAAATTATTGAAAAAACGAATTAAACATTAGTCTTTAAAAGCTTTGGACTTTTTGTCGGATTTTTCATCATATATTTCATCTAAATATGAATATTTTAATTTGTGTGTCTAATCACCTATTCCACTAGCCATCGTAAATCATTATCAAAACCTATACCCCAATAAACTCCAAACAATTAATGAAGTATTAATTGCTAAATATAATATATTTAAGACATGCCAACGTGTCAAATCAACTCCAACAAGATAGATTACGAGTCGTCTGGGACATTGAATCTCATAATCATTTTACTTTTGATGGGTCGGATTATAATCTTTAATAAAATGAAATGGGAGACGTGGAGATATATATATGAGGTATGGGATCTCCCCCAACTCTGTTGGTTTGAGAGCTCACTTCCTGAACAAGAGGTCGTGGGTTCAACACCCAGGGTATGGAGATTTCCCCTCCGGCCACCTTCGGGTGTTTCACATCCCACACGTGTGGTGCCGGTTGTACGTGTGGGTCGGGATTAGTCTGGGCCCTTTGGACCTAGGATTACCCGGTTATCAAAAAAAAAAAAAAAAATATATATGAGGTATAGTAATTCCATGCATGCCATGCAGGAAACATGAGACAGACAACGTGAAGGCCCCATATTTTCTGGTCGAACCAAACACGACATATCGAAACAGCTAGTTTGCCTATAATATATGCATACATATGCATATACATATATACATACACATACTTATATATATATATATATATATATGTATCTATGTACCCAGAACAAACGTACGATCTCCGTGATCTCAGTCATTCAGAATCTTAGATTATACGTACTCTTCGCTCATAGATATGTACTTTTCCTCCTCTCGGGAAACTTATATATCCATCATCATGATCATTGTCCCATTTTCTTTGCTCAATTATTGCATTGTGACCGTATAAGTACATATTTCATGTATCATTCATAAAAAAAAATAGAAAAATCGTATTACTAAAACTCTTTTAACACAAATGGTATCCAAGCCTTTTAATATAGACACAACTTTAAGGATACTATAATGTCATGATTATAAACATATATATGACTAACCATATGCAAGTGTTTCAACTTTTTTTTAGTTGCTTACATATACATACATATGTGTGTGTGTATACTATGTTTTACAGATAATATAAAGAATGTAGAGAGGACAATTAATTGAAGAAGGATGGTAGAAGATCGAATTGCAAGCTCACCCCATTTCTCTTTTGTCTTTTGGTTTGGACTAAAAGAAAATAGAAAATGTTCCTTATAAATTAGGGTCATGAGTTATATTACTGATCAAATGTATGCATCATGAGATGTCATTTCTAGTGATGGATGTTAGACCAATACTTAAGTAATTCCATAATAGAAACCGAAAGCTGCAAAAAAAGTTCTAAGGTACTTGCAAGGCACCAGATAATATATGTTTACATGTAAGAGATTTTAGAGTCTGAAAATCATTGGGTATTTATATTCAAATTATATCGGATATATTGATACTAGAAAAATCGACTTTCAATTGTTTGTTCCAATTATTTAGAGGAACAACACAATGGAAAATAGAAATAATATGTCATCGTTATTTCTATTATGAAAGTTAAATTTATAGTTTACTTTAAAGCTATTTTTATGGATCATAGATATGTGGAATTTATATATCAGGATTTGAAATTGTCTACTTTTATATCTAAGTCGTTGAGAATTATTGTGATAACTCCACATATGTCTTATAGTCAAAAACAACAAGTACTGAAATGGTGTTAAACACATAATATAAAGTACTTAATTGTGTAAAAGAAGAAGTGCAGAAATATAATGTCAATTGAGCATATGAGTAATGATCTTATGATAACGGATCCGTTGATTAAAGGATTAACGCCTAAGACATTTAAAGTATTATGTCAAAATGCATGGGCATTAAATATAATTCCTTGCTATGACGGTAGATTCAGTGAATGTTTTGCTCATTATATTTATGTTTATGATAGACTGAATCCAATTATGGTGATGTTTTTGTGATTATTAGTCATGTTATCGTTATAGTGTTTGTGTATACATGATGTAAAATGAGATAACATGCATAATGATATTTATAGTTTCTTTTGGCCATAAAGAAAGTTGGATGGTGATCGATTGTGATACAAAGAAGGAATCATATTGCAAAATTATATGTGACCGTCATGATTCATTCGATTGTTATTCAAATCAAAGTTATTTATAGATGAATCTAATGTAAAGTTACATGCTTAAAGTTTATTAGATCATCAAGTTTGTCCAAGTGGGAAAATGTAAGAAATAAATTATTATGTGGCCCATGTAATTAGGCTTTCGGATTTTGATATTAATTTGGTTTTTTGATAGATAAGAACTCGTTAAAGAATTAAAGTTTAGGGATATTATTGGAAGTCCCTTCTCTCGTTCCCCTAATAAACTAGGGTTTTCATACCCTATAAAAGGAATATTATAGTTCATTATTTCTGTCCATAAAAAAAAACTTATAATAGGGGAGAAAGGAGAAAAAAATCATAGAAGACTTTTGGTTCTTAAAGTTATTCCGCTACAATTCATGGATTCAGTTATGTTTTCTGATCTATATTTTATTGATAGTTTGTATGAATTATACAAAACCAAACCCACTTTATCGTTGGATTTTCATAAAAGCAAATCTCTGAAATTATCTTACATGACGGATGATCCTTATAACACCCCATTTAAATCTCTCTTATTTAATTATTAAACCCATATATAT